TCCATGCTCCTTGGCTGGTGAGCCGGAGTCATCAGTCACACCTTCGCCCGACAAATCCATTTCCGATTTATTCTATTTAATTTATTTTATAATTATTGCAAATATATAATAACTTATAAGTTATGATTGTTTCGTGAAAATGTGAAAATATTATTCCATATCATGTTCCTTGTTTTATCGAGTTCACAGTTTACACGCATGCATTTTCGGAGCTTGTCTATGAGATGCTACACCTGGTGTAAAATATTAGATGATTTTGAATCATCGATCTATATAAATAATGACTTATTAAGTACATGTACTGTACACGTATGTATGCTTGCCCGAACCTTAAATTTCAGGTTCACCCCTGGTAATTTGCAATTATTTAGCTACTTGATAGCGGTATACCGATCGAGATTCAATCGAAAGTGAAATTGCAACCATCTTTTTAACTCAAACCCGCAAGTAAAATCATATGATTGTTCAAACTAAGACATAACCCTTTGGTAATAATATGTTTTTCTCAATTATTTTTTATTCCAAGTATAAAATTTTCAAAATTCAAATGAAGGCACTCCCTTATTTTTCAACCATTTATCTCTAATTAGTATTACAAGTTCCTTTCTTTCTTTTTTCCACTAAATTTTTGTTTTATTAATTGCATCGTTACTTCAACTATTAATTTCATTTTATGATAATAAAGTTTTTACAATCTTTTGCTGAGCGGTTTTGTATCGTTCATATTTGTATGAATACCGTAATATATTTTCTTATTATCGGAGTAATTGTTATTGCACTTATAGTAATTTGGAGTAATGCCTAGTTATAGTAATACAAGTGTAATAAAAACATAATTAATTTCTAAATCAAATTCCAAGAAATTAAAATTGGGCAAGAATATATTATAGTGAGTTTATTGGCATGATTGGAAACAACAAATAAAGAGTCCCACATTATATTGATGCCCACAATGACTTTTCACTTTAGGTCCCTCTAAACTTCATCATTCATATTTCACAATCATTTTCCATCTTTTTCATTCTCCCATTATTTCTTTCAACGGTCTCACTTAATTTATAATTAATTACAATCAAATTATTATTAAAAAAATTCTTCTTCTTTCTCTTTTATTTCTCCAAACAACTACGAGCGGGATATAATTATTAATAACCATTAAATGCTAATTTATTTAAAGGTGGAATAGACGGTGTTGTAAGAGAGTGCGGTGTTATTTGACCTGAGTTCGAAATACTCCCTCCGTTCCTAAATAATTAATTGTCACTTTTCACTTTTCGCAAAGATTAAGAAACACAATAAATATATCTTGATTTTAGAAAAATCATATAAAAATTACTAAAACAACCTTCAATATTTAATGATTTATAAGAGAAAATTAATGCATAGAGTTTCATTAATAAGGTTAAAACAGGAAAAATGCATTTAATGCAGTATTAGAAATCTAAAGTGACAGACATATAATATAAAACAAAAATATTTTTAAAACGAGACAGTTATTGCGTAACATAGGGAGTACTTTGCATAATCTTCTACGTTTAATTCATCGCGCATGATCTCGTAATCTAATCCATCAATGTACTTTAGTGGTTGTATTTCTCTTATCAATAAAAAATAAATAAAATAAAATAAAATATAATAAAGTCAATTTGAACTTACACGAGAATAGACCATATGAAAATGCCTACCCCACCCCCCCAAATTTGTGTTTTGTTCCATCAACACCATGCCAATTGCTAATAGTGAGAAATTGAATTAAAAAAAAAAAATTGAATGAAATTGAAACAACCAAATTCTATTTCACATGTAACTACTATAAAATAAATATTAAAAAAATCAATAAATATTTAATAAATAAACAAATTGAAAAGTGTAATGCATCATTGAATTATATTAAAAAAAATAAAAATTAAACAATAATTGGTATTGGCCCTCCAACTCTACTTCCATAGTAGCTACAATATCTAAATAAAAATTCGGTGCACAAAACAAAAGATTAAACAATTAATTAATCATGTACACGTGTTAATTAATCACACGTCCAGAACGGTACGAACAATTTCCCTGGGACCACAAGCGAACGTGACAGCTGATACGCCATCGTCGCAATTACCTCTTAAAACCAGGGGCAATTCAGTCATTTCACCCCCACACGCACACCATCTTCTTCCTATATAACCAACCCCACTTCCCCTTTCGTCTCTCTCAATTCTCCCTCACAACTCCACTCTGCGCACACAGTACACGCACTAGCACTACCACGAAATACCTTAATTCTAAACGAAGAAGAAAAAGAATGGGGTTTCCGGTGGGATACACGGACTTATTCCTCCCCAAATTGCTTGTATACCTGCTGACATTTCTAGGATTCGTACGGAAATTCGTGTGCGGAGTCTTCTCCGTTCTAGGGCTGGGTGATTTTCTGGAGCAGGAAACGGCGTCGTACGCATCCAGAGATGAATCCGGATTCGAGCAGCCGAGGTCGGTGTCGGCGGCGCTGATCCGGGAGCTGCTGCCGGTGGTGAAGTTCTCCGATTTGGCGGAGGAAGACAATCCACCGGAGAGCTGCGCCGTTTGTCTGTACGAATTCGACGGCGAGGATGAGATCCGGCGGCTGGCGAATTGCAGGCACATATTCCACCGGAGCTGCCTGGACCGTTGGATGGACCACGATCAGAAAACGTGCCCGCTCTGCCGGACGCAGATTATACCGGAGGATATGCAGGAGGCTTTCAACGAGCGCCTCTGGTTGGCTTCCGGAATATCCGATTTTTACGGCGAATATTCGCCGATTACTACTGGTTTGTAGTCCTCTTTTTTTTTTTGTAGATTCAGGTTTTTTTGGGTAATTTGGTAATTTGAGATGTAAATATTACAAGAAAAGGAAATTGTAGAATTTTACTGCAAGTTTGAAAGAATGAAGATAGAATTTTGTATATCAGTTTCATTTTTATTTTCACATTGTTGGTAAGGTTAAACCTCTACGAATTAATCCAATCGAGACTAATAAAATTCGATTGATTTAGTGAAATATTATATTATCAAACTAATAATTTAATATGTTTTTATCGAGCCAGGACAGAAGAAATTATTAATGAAGTCAGAACATCGATTTATCGAGTTTATGTAAATGTGTTATATATAGAAGCTAAATAGCAAGAAGAAAAATAAAAAGAAAAATACTAGAGATTGTAATGAAAATAAATATATATTTTTTCTCTTAATTTAACATAGTTGTTTCTGTTTGCCCTTTATATTTTCCATTTTAAGAAAAATAAAGGAAAACACATGATGTCGACAAGGATTTAACTTAAGGTTAAAATTCGAGTTATTTATTACTTAGATGCCTTTGACGCGTATAAAGATGATACGTTGGGTGAATTTTAATTATCGATGTGCTTAAATAATTATCCACTAAACACAAATACACGTATTTGTAAGATCGTAATGATTAATAATTGTCTGATATGTTTCATCGGGTGTAGCATCAAATAAACCGCCTTTTTGAGTTGTGAGATTTAAGCAAAGTGAATATCCGAAGCAACTACGAGAAGACCAACCAATTACTTTTCCTAAAAATTGTAAAATTAATTTATATTAATTGGGCCACACTTATTTATCATACTATAGATTGTTCGTGTATTTTTAAATTTTGATATGAAGTTTGCAGTTATTTTAGAATATAAGATATATTGGATTATAATTAAAAATAATTAAAAAAAAAAGGAAAAAAATTAGGAGAAAAGGCATGAGAGTTTGGGCCAATATTTTAAACCCTTGAGTGCAGCAGTTAATCCAGCTGTCAAAAATATTGAAGGCCCCCTTCTCTACTCTGCTGCATAAATTTACTACTCAATGATGGCATATAATGTGACTTGTACTTTTCTCTACTACATTTCAAAAAAAAAAATTATATATATATATATATATATATATATATATATATATTCAGGAAGGTAAACACACTAAAAAAGCATGGCTAAGAGAAGTTTCTTCAGTTCACATGAACGCAAGAACCATAGTTTATATTCAACATTATTACATTTTAAATTACTTGGAGTCCACTTGCATATACAAAATCAATCCCAGACAAACAAATGTAATATATGTTATATATATATATATATTATTGAATATTAAAAATTAAAATTAACTTTGTCTATCTTGGAATCTTCTTTCAGCTTTCCTTGGCGTTGCGCTCATATTTTAATTAATGATGGAACAATTAGAGAAGTCCAACTTAAGCTGCAATTTAATGTTTCTTAATCCCCAACTTTCTTTATCGATTAAAAGCGTGTACGCAAAAATGATTGAAAACGACATGATGTAGCCTAAATGGCTCATTCACGAATTGAAAAAGTGGAATGGACCTGATGAGAAAGACTCACATAAGAAGAAGTTCACGCGTTCTAAGAGACTTGCAAAAAGGAGTGCTTTTTGAGGGATTTTCCGACATCAGCACTTTGACGATCTAGTCAGTCCAAAACGCTCATTAAGTGTATTTAAAAAAATATAATAAAAACATGTTTACTAGAAATACTCAGTAGAGTTGTCGCTCCCTTGTGCTCCAAGACTGTATTTATACATGTCGTAGAGATGGGCTGGTGGGTTCCTAGTTATGTGGTCAGATCACACGTTTCTCTATTGAAGGCTAGTTATCTTGCTCCCTACGATATAGATCAGTTTAATGAAGAGAGTCCGTTGGTGTGGTCTCTCTTGGACCTCTCCCGCAGGTCTATGTCATATTGCAGGTTATTCTCCTTTACTTCTGACATTAGGCCGAATACAGTCCTTTATTTTAGGGCGATTGAGCCCGTATTACAATGATATTTTAATTATTTTTACAAAGTAACTCGCAATCACGTACGTCCATCCGATACAACCACTTTCTCGTTTAACAACCCACAAATCAAATGAGTTGTGTAAACCGCACTGGACAAGTACCATAAGACGAGCTTGGAACATAAAATTTAAAATTTTGCAAAAGCTTTAAATATTTAATTTCCATTGGGGGGATATTTGAAAAGTCACTTAGACCCACTAACCATTACACATATTGGCCCTCGTAGCGGGTGGAAGTGGGGAGGCTCTTTATAGCAAATTTTAATTTTCTAAAGGACCTTTATCCAATTTTCTCATGTTAATTAAATGAAATTTTAATTTTTAATATAGGCAAAATCTTGAATCCCAGGTAATTCATAATGCGTCGTTCGAAAAACAATTGTTGCACGATATTCAGTCCCAAAAGTGTAAGAAAATGGAGTATTTATATCAAAATGAAAAATATAACTCAGGGTATATATATATATATATATATATATATATATATATATATATATATATTATATATATATATTAGATACAAGCTCCCAAACATAACATGAACAAAGTAGCACCCAAACAATATGAACCAACCAATGTGTGTTCACAAATATGCAAATTATAATCATGTACGTACGAATAGAGATATAGCCGAAAATACCCAAAATATCACCACACAAACACTCACTGGGGAAAGATCAATCAATCACCTTTGATAGCCAGCAGAGGGATAGCCAGCTGGAGGATATCCGGCAGGAGGATATCCTGCAGGAGGATAACCGGCGGGAGGATAACCGCCAGGCGGTGGATAATTAGGCTGCCCGTATGCAGGAGCAGGATATCCAGCGGTGGGAGGGTACTGCTGATCGAGGCGTGACATTTGCTGGACAGCTGGCACCGACATTACCGGTTGTGGGCCAAACTTACCGTCTCGCTTGTCCATTTCGATTTTGTGTTGTGTCTTCGCATTTTTAGACGAAAGAAAATTAGTATAAGCAGTAAAGAGTGTTAAATATTAACGATGTTAATTAAGTAGTTGATTACCTGCATACAAGCGCAAACCCTGTAAAAGCAAAAATTATGTAGTTTGGTTCAGTAGGATGTACATTGGTTGCTTTGTTTGATAAAGGCAGTAAAGTAAGAAGAGTTAGAGGTGAGGTTTTCTTACGAGCAATACACCATGTCGGACAAGCATGACAGAATCTGAGAAGCCTCAGAGAGTTCGTCACTTCCAACAATCATAGCAACAATTGAAAAGATACACGCAACTTGTTGGAGGCAGACCATGAAACCCTGGAAATAAGGAACTATATTTAGCATCAAACAAATTTTCAAAAGAATAAGGCCGTCTATTTAGTTACAAGACAGGTTTTGTTCAGAGAGAGAGAGAGAGCGTACAATGATGCAATTGTCACACTGCGTAGTCTGTATGTTGAACTCGTCTTGCAACATAAACCGTGTTGAGGCTACTGAGTTTCCAAAGCATAGGAAAACCTGAAATAAAATATTTATTTGTATGTAGAGTATTTGCAATAATCTGTAACAGAAGTAACACAGTCAAGAAAAACAAACAAACAAACAAATTTTCCGTGCAATAGAATTAAGCATTACGAGGGAACTAAAAGGGCTCAATAAGTCCTAAAAGTACAGGCTTAGGATTTCTCCTTTGTTTTTATGTTAGGATCAAAACAATTATATCCAATATATTAGAAGGTTACACCTGCAGGGACGAGATATTTTAATGATTGAAAGCAGGATCAAAACTACACATTCTTCTTGAGTAAAATTTGTCTACACGACAAGCATGGCTTAAGGAGATACAAACATCATAATTCTGCAGTTAAGTTTGTTGTCAAGAAAAACAATGTTCTTGTATCCTTTAATGAGAAAAAAAAAAGGGTTAAGACGAACTTATTTATTAAAAGTTCACTACTGTCACAGATTTTGGTCCTCCCAGATAAAGGTTGGCAAGTACAGAAAAATATGCTTCCACAAAAGATTAACAAGTGATGTATAGCCACCATGATGATAAGCTAAAGCTCTATACAATGATGCAATGGCCTATTGTAATGTAATTATTTTAAGGTAGAAATGTTGCACTGACATCCTCCGAAATAATACAGAAAAATATACACATTATATGACCATATACATACATAATCAATACCAGCAAATGAGATGATCTAAATTACGAGAAAAAAAATTCTTCATTCTTAAAATTTACCACTCCGTAAAAGCTCTTACGAAATTAGAGAACCTAAAATATTCAAGAAAATACACAAACTCTAAAAATGAATAAGTTAACATTTGCATTACCTCAGTTGCAAGGCAAAACTCAGGGCAACGACTTTCACCACACCGACCACTGCAAGGCATATATCCAGCACAGCACACATACCTGTTACAAGCAACAGCAAAAGTTTATGATACCGAGAGGTAACTCTAGTTACAAGCTAGAAAACTGGCAGGATTTTTGTTACCTTGTCATGTCATTGTAAAGAGCTCTTTTCCGAAGCATATATGATACACAAGGTCCACTGTAATTTCGAAGCCCAGAAAGAAGTCAAACTTCGAAGAAACAATATTCATCAAGTTAATATTTCGAAATATCCTAGAATGCACAATAACTAACACAATAAAAAGTCGATTCCTTATGTGACTGATCCGGAATAAATACATCATTTACATATTTCCTTCCACTCAGCTTTTCATGTCTTGAAAGAATGCACGTACTTGAAACAGAAATATACATCAGATGCGCATAACTATCAGTACAAGTGCTATTGGAAGAACTTGAAAATAATTTCAAACTCAAACCTTAAACCTAGCCATCCATGCCATTTCGAGATTCACATGCAGATATCTAAACGAAGTGGTGAATGATTAAAGGATGAGCAAAATATAATATGTTCCTCTGACGATGTTAGAAAAAAAACTAGCGCAATGTACTCTAATCTCAAACATCAACAGTAGTTAACAAAGATCTAGCAGATTCATATGTCAAATTTAGATGGCATATCCATATTTATCCAAGTTTGACCTGAATTTGATTAGATTAGAAGACCTTTTTAGCATTCTTACACGCAGTAGCACAATCATTGAAACAAATTTAGGGCACCATTTCTGTGAGTTGAGATCAATCTACGATGAGTTGAATAAAATCAATTGAAAGACAATCAAATAAGTGAGAATAGCTGAAACTGACTAATATACTCCAAGTCAACCCAATGTAAAACCACAAAGACAAGCCAGTCAAATCATAACCATCAGAATTGGCATCTCAGACCTTGAAGAAAAGCAGAAAACTCAAATGCAAAAACATCAGATCTAAGATACATATAAAAACACAGTGCAAAACCGAAAACCGAAAACCGAAATTAAAACCTAAACCTCGATCCTAATTTCCAAGTAACAACACAATAAATCACTCCGAAACAAATTCAAAAAAGATGAAATAGAACTCATTAACTCACCACCAAAGCGCCAAGCAGCAATCTGCACAAAATAAAAATTAAAAAAAAAAATCAAAAAGTAATTGCTGAATCCAGAAATAAGAAAAAAAAAACAGATTACAAATAACGCGTAAACCCTAGAATGGCTAGAGATACAGAAACACGTACACGGAGGATCGTTCTGAATGGTGTGCGTAAGATCGGTGTGCCAGACGTTGCGATAATTCTGACGCAGCTGCATCTTGTCCAAATGCTGCTGAGACGCCATTCCTGCTTCCTTCTTCTCGTCAAATCGAGCCTGGATTTTTTTATTTTGATTTTTTTTCTTCACCGGCGAAAGTGAAGAAGAAGAAGTCGGTTTTGCGATAATTAAATACGAAAATTGGGATAAATTGTTTAGGAAGACTCCCAAAATTGAAAAAAAAAATTGAAGCGTTATTATACCCTGGCAGACAGTTGTGCAGGAACTTTCCACGAAGTTGAAGCCTTCAATTACTTTTCTCTCTCGTTTTCTCGCCTTTTTCTTCCCAAGTAAGGTTTTGACTTGTTTATTTGTGACGTTTTCAAAACTACTAGATTATTGGGAAAAATTCATTACCTTCCTCCCATTACTTCTTCTATTTATGGTTTTAATATTATTAATAAAAATATATATTCTCTAATTTTCAAAAAAAAAAAAAAAAAAAAATTGTTCCAAATTATCTATGACTCTCAGAAGTTCAATAATGCATTTTCTTTTTCATAATTTACCATTGTTAATCCAATTGTATTAAGCATTAACTCTGTTTTGTACCAAAAGGCAAAATCCCTCGCCCCCAAGGCTTCCATCCCTTGGCCCAACCAGTATTTGATGGAGGAATGTAAATCATGGTAACTCAACGGAGCGGACCCGGACTTGGTGCCCACAAGAGCATTAACTCTATCTAATTACTATATTAAATGACAAAGGTTATTTTAGTCTTTTGTATGTATATGTGTCTTCCTAAAATTCAATGACATTTAACTTTTTTTATACTGCATGTGTAAAAATTTAAACGACATTTACTATGGAATAGATGGAGTACTAAATTACACTACATTTTGCAATAAGTCGTTGAACATATCCTACAAGTCACACGAGAGAGGTTTACGCCTTACGGTGTAACTAATAGAATCATTATTACCGATTAACTCTATGTGTTCTTAGGAAAAAAAAAAAAAGTTAACCTCTAAATGAGATTAGGGATCCTAATGGGACTCGGGCGATTAAATTAATAGAATTGATCCATAAACTTAATTATTTGCAGATGAGTTATGTCTCGAACTGTATTTAATGTCCCAAATAGGTATGTCAATCTAATTTAAAGCTAGAGATATATAAATGATTCAGAAATTGCCTATGGATAGTTTTCAATTATTTAAAATAATAGATTGTAGTTGTATACCAAGTTTTTATTCAGCAGCAATTGAACTTTAATAATTCAGAATGAACTGCTATCTGTTAGTATTTAACAATCATGTAATGGATTGATTGATATGTGGCTTCTTAGTCCAAGACTAATGTTAATTAACTAAAAATTAACTACAAGGTCATATGATTATAACAATGTCAAAAAAAAAAAAAAAATTAAGCCTAAAATGTTATAATAACAACTTGTCTCGAGTTGAATATTAAATTTGTGATTACGTTAATAGCCCAATTAGCTAAGTGTTATTCCGTTGATTAGTTAGAACAACTTTCATTGAGTCGGTTTATGTATGGGTTGTTATACTAGCATAAAGCATTAACGTCCCCAAATTTACCTATCATACATTTGTATCAACATAATGTAACTGGGCCAAGTATATTATGAGCCCAAAATCACGACTAACGATATATGACACAATTACAAGCAAATGCCCAATATATGCCTCCAGTCTATAACTAAATTACATAATTTAATCGTCATTAGAGGTAACTAATTTAATTTGTTTAATCATCTTTTCGATGTATTCTATGGACGTCCGCTGTAATTTGTGGCTGACTTAAGTATTGAAGGATTTTTGAGTTCCAGTGCCTTAACTTGTGTTTTGTGGCGCAAACAACGCTCTCGTTTTTCTCAATTGAAGAATCGTTGTGGATTCAAAGAATACATTGAGATGATTCATGTTAATTTAATTGTTGGCCGCGGTCGCATCGCATCGCATCGCAACTTACAACTTATACCAAATGAAATGAAAAAACACGTCAATGGGAAATACTGTAATTTCCGCAAAATTGCGAGGTGCTTTCCGAAGAATATCAATAATATAAGGGTTTACATGAAAACATTGTTCTCTATTTAAACCAGAAGTGGACAGACCGTTAAAACTCGTTCTGTCGTTTTTATGCTTTGAAGCGAAAATTATATAAATTTGCATTACAACCCCTCTCTTCCTTTTAACATTTCCATCACTAACTCACTGATATAGCAGCGCAGAAAATCTCTACTTTTTCTCTCTCCTCTCTCTGCGCACGATTACTGTGTGCTGTGTGTGTGTGTGAGAGGGAGAGAGAGAGAAAGAGAGAGAGAGAGAGAGGAAATGGAATTCTTGTCATCTTCTTCAAGCTAGCAGACAAAAATTCTGACGAAAAAAAAAACCTGCTCGTCACGCTTTGTGCTCTTTTTAATCTCTGCGCCTAATTTTCGTCTTTATTCACCACGAAAACTTGCATAGAAAGTTGAAACCAGATACACACACTACACACATTTTCTAGGGTTTTTTTTTTTGGGGGAAAAAAATTGGATCAGGTTTTTTCTCCAAAATGTCGTCGGATCTGTTTGCATTCGAAAACAGTTTCTTCTCCGATCCGTTCTCTGCGTTCGCCGATTCCGCCATTGACGATTCCCTCCCCTGCGACGAGATCGGCGCAGGTCTGATTCGAGGCGGCGGAACGACGCCGTTCGATCAGATTTCAGCCGCGCTGCTTTCATCCTCGCCGCCGAGTTTCCAGCTCGAGAATCTAACGCTGATGTCACAGCTGGGAAGCGCGGCGGAGTACTCTGCTCCGGAGGAGGTGAAAACAGAGGAATTCCAACTCAGTTTCGACGCTGATTTTTCCGGTTTCGGAAATTGCTTCTCTCCGCAGAGCCTCGACGAATCGGCGGCGGCGGCGGCGAAGTTCATGCAGAGGAGTTTCAGCAGCAATTCCTTCGAAAATCGGCCGAGCTTTTGTTTCCGGCCACGATTCGACGGCGTATTGGAGTCTCAGAGTTCCCCCAAACGACAAATTCTGAGCTCACCGCCGGAATTTTCCTCCGGCCAAATGAGGAGGGTTTGCAGCACCGGAGATTTACAAGTCAGTTATTAAATTTAAATTCTTATTTTTCAATTTTCACTGATTAGGTTAATTTTTATTATATCATATAATATAAAATAAATTAAATCTGTTCAACGTTTTTCCAGAAGGTGCAAATGAACATGCAAACAAAAAACGCAGCGTTGTCTGTAAGCCCGTTATCTTCAGAGAAGTCATTAATGGAGGAAGCAAACTTCAAAGTTGGGAAATACAGTGCTGAAGAGAGGAAAGAGAAGATTGATCGATACAGAGCAAAGAGGACTCAGAGAAATTTTCACAAAACAATTAAGGTAATTAATTGGGGAAATTTGCAGTTTTCACCCCTCAAGTTTGCACCAATTTCACATTTGGTCCCTCATGTTCACAGAAAAACACATTTGAGCCCTCATGTTTCAATAATTTAACACACTTGATTCCGTTAGTTTTAACGGAAAATTGACAGAAATGACTAAAAGAGTTAAATTTTCGACACATAAGGGACCAAATGTGAAATTGTTGCAAACTTGAGGGGCGAAATTTGTATTTTTCCGTTATTAATTATTACTAATTTATTTTTAATAAAAAAAAAATATTAAAAGGTGGTTGGAATATATTGTTTTATTTATTTAATTAATGTGATGACAACAGTATGCATGCCGGAAAACACTAGCCGACAATCGGCCGAGGATACGTGGCAGATTTGCTCGAAACGATGAGGCTGGTGAGATTCCTAAAGCATCAACATATGAAGATGAAGATGATTTTTGGGTAATATTTTTATTTATTTATATTATTTATTTTGCATGAAAATTGAGTTCTAAATTAGTAGTGTTACAATTTTTTTTTATTTTTTTTTAAATAATCACGATGACGTGGTAAGAAATGTTTAGAAAATTAGCAATGGCGGCGATGGCCCCCCACTGCAGGCAATATACAATACTAGTCAAATTATTTGTTATTTTAACACAAATAAAAAAAATTAGTAGTATTATTTGCAGTTTTAATATTAGAAGTTCAATAAATTAATGATTTTGCTTAAATAATAATTTCTCTCGATCCTGACTCGGTAATATCTTATTAATATTTCACTAAATTGATAGAATTTTACTTATTAATTTATGAAGTTAAATTATATTAACTTCCATTAACATGAATATATTTCAGATGGATGGATTTCATGAAGAAGGAATGCTTGCAAGAAGAGGAGAGTTGTTCAACATCACTGGTTCAACTCAGTATCAGAATTATAGCTATTAATTAGTAGTTGACTAATTCTAGTGATTAAGGATTAAGTAAACGAGATAATAAATTAAATTAGGCAACTAAGTTGAGGTTTAACGTCTATTTCAATGTAATTTCTTTTTAAATTAGTGATTTTAGAGTCATGATGCCATGTCCTATATATTTAATAACTTTGTTTAAATAATAATTTATTCATGTTCTGCTTCTATGTAAATATAATAAGTTATTAGTTCGAATATTTCGTTAAATTAATAGGATTTTGTTAATCCCAACTATATAGATTTATAGAACGTATATATTAATAATGAGAATTATAAACCCAATCTTAGTATAATAACCTATTTCCTATAATACAATTTCAGGTCGGCCGAAAATAATACTTGCTAACGAAACATCAAATAAGATATAATTATTTAATTAATCGTAGATCATTACTCATACATTTAAAAAGAAAATGTAATCAACAAATAAACTTTTTCTTGTGTATATATGATTTTCTTTTTTCTATGTTATTATTAAGGGCAACTACACATACATCAAATTTCTATTATTTTACATCGAGGTTTAAAAAAAAACCGTATATAATAGCATTATCGGCCTCTTCTTTTAAATAAATTAATGCGTTCGACCTCCGCGAACTTATAATCATGGCTCCGCTCCTTGAATTTAGACACTAAAATCTATGTTGTTTTTATAATATTTTTTACACTTCACTCCTGCCTACTTAATTTTACAAATAATGCCACTACTCGTGTAACACATCTCTCTCGATTCATCTGCTTGTCTTCGCGAACAAAAGTAAGAAGAAGAAAAAACTCGCGTCGACTTTGGTTAGTACTGTTTTGTTACGATAAAAGTAAGACTCAAACCGTTATACATAACATTATAATATATACTACAAACTCATTTTAGATGTACGTCCATTCGACCAACAAGAATAAAACTCGCGTCGACCTTCGTCAATACTCAATACTATTTTAGTTGCAATAATAGTAGCAGTAAGTTTGAAACTTCCACTTAAATCTATTTTTTTTTTTTTTTTTGCAATTAAAAAATAAGAGAGAATCATATAGACCAAATTGCCTAGATCCTCCTACAAATGATTCTACTGTACAAAATATATATATTTATATACGATTCATATATATTATTATGTTCTAATGGCCTTTAATTTTGATCTTAGCACCAACCTTATGTTAATTTAATATATATATATATATATATATATATATAGACATTATTTTTTGCTTGATCTTTTGCAAACTTAAAGTTGTCTTTCATAAATATCTGCTAATTACATTATGCATCAACTTGTCAAACAAATATATTCCCTACCAATTAATTATTCATTAATGGCTATTGCAAATACCATTGTGGCTATGGCTACATTAATTTCAAGTGTCTTTCAATATTTATTTATATTTTTATTAAAAAAAAAAAGGGTAAACCATAGTAAAATCCGAGTTAAACCATAGTCAAAAAGTGTTCCTAAACCCTAGTTATGAGACTATGAGAGAATTAATATATGCATAATTATGTTTCAACCCTTTTCAGTGCTGTCTAATCACGATTATATATTACAATACAAATTAACGGGTTCAACCGACCGATCAGATCCGAGTTTCTTAGCAAGTTTACGAATAATTAAATTAGACCAAAGTGAAGGAGCTTATGTGGAGAATGTCAATAAATACAATTCTTTTTAACAAAATTTCACGAACACTTAACACCTTGAAGATTCGAATTCGAAAACAGCATCTTATTTAATTGCAGCATGCACAAATATGTATTATACCCCAAAAGGAGATGCTTCTTTCTAAAGCTAATTTTACATTATATAGAAGAACCCTTTTAATTAAAAAAAAAAAAAACCCCTTTAATTAACATTAGTTTAAGCATCTTCAAACATTTCTCAATATATAAATATTTAAAAAAAAAAAAAGAGCATCTTAAAACAGCTTTTAGCTAGCTAGTAAACAGTTAAGCCCACTAATGATGGGGGAATTAGTTAGTCTATTTATTAATTACTCAATCATTTGATTATCGACAAACAATTAGGACATGTTATTGACTAAATTCTTTCAACACTTGACTCAAAAGTTATGACAATTTATTTTTTATTACTAAATATATATTTTTTTAATTTGCTCCAATTGACACCTACTAAAGAACATTTAAAAGGATTTAATATTGTTGGATGAAACTCATAAAAGAAACAATTAGCATCTTCCATGACTCACAAAAGGGAGATGTAAAGAGAGAATCTCATCCATCACTTAATTAGTACAAAATCACCCTTTAGGAATGACATATATTGCACGGAAACTTCAACTTTCTAACGTATCCGACACTTGAGGGCACATGGCAGACGACGATTAATGGGTTATTTTGTAATTTCTAAAAAGTTAGAAATATGTACAAAGTCATCCTTTATGACCTACGTAGCCGGAAAAAACTTCAACTTTCTAACGTATCCGACACTCGATGACATATGTCGGACATTTTATGGGTCATTTTGGTAATTTTTGAAAAGTTAGAAACATGTGCAAAATCATCCTTTATGACATATGTATCGCGAAAACTTCAATTTTCTAAACACTCAAGAACACCTGCCGGACACCTTATGGGTCAATTTGCAATTTTTGATTAGTCAGAAATATGTTTGAGCAGCGAATTTCCAAAAAAATTAGTTATTACATGATTTAATGAGCAATTACAAATTCATAGGTGATAATAATACATACTTTGAATATATTTGTACTGAAATGTATAAAAAAAACTTATATATATAAACAAAATCTTATATATGTTTATACAGTATATTTATAAATATACCCCTATACTTTTAATGTTTACATGTTTCTTCTAAGTACTCGCATCTCTATTTTCGGGACATGTCGTTTCCCATATCATAATTTATGTGTATGTGCTACATAGTTTATGGCCCGAGTTTTGTAATTATGCATAAAGAAAAAACTTAAATTCATATATTAGGTGACACTATTTTCTGATTTGTCACCTTATTTGATATATAATGATATTAAAAAAAATCCTTTTTTCAGTCACATGAATTTTGCATTACTCTATGACAAAATCTATTTTATGCTACATCGAGTGAAATACATAAGTAGATTAGTACCATTTATATATATAAAAAAAAAATACACACACATTAGTGTGTAGATCATCGGGTGTAGCATAAAAATAATGCTACGGCAGTTATGTAACTAAACTTGATTAAGAGTGAGAAAGAGAAGATGCAATCTGATTTAATGCGGAGAGCAGAATGCTAAAGAATGCCTATTAAATTTTTGATCCAACTATAATTGATTCCAATTTCAACTTTTTGACCACAAGTTTATTCCAAACATTAATAAATTACTTTTATACCCTATCTATCATTGCAACCTATATATTATAGGGATGATTTTCTTCACCAATAAAAAATAAAATTTTGAGGGGAAATAATTAATATAAAATCAAAAACTAGGATTTAATTTGCCCTTTGCCGACTGCCATTTATGGATCTTGAACTCGACTATTTGTACTCGAACTCGACGACTTGAAATTTTCTGACTTGAGCTCGAGATTGCATGAGCTTCGGTGAGCTTGAGCCCGAGCACGAGCACGAGCTTTAAAAATAATTAGTTCACCAATAAAATAATTCTATTTTTTTAATAATAATATTAATAATAATTATTATTTTATTTTATATATAAAATGAAAATAAAATAAATAAATAAATAAATAAGAAGTTCGTGAGTCGGCTCGCGAGATGTCGAACAACTATAATCGGACTCAAGCTTGAGCTCGAAAAACTCAAACTCGAGTTCGAGTTTTTGTCGATTTGGCTTGTTGAGTTCATGAGCCGGCTCAGCTCGTTTACCACCTCTACCCACTATTATTAAAAGAATTTGTTTTACCAACAATTCCATGGATTTCACCTTTTTTTTTTTTATATTAATTAATTAATACCATTATTAAAAAGATAATCTAACTTAAACCTTGTGCACGAATGGTGCTGCACTAGTGCTTTTAGTAAAATTTTATTTTTTTATTTTTTAAGCACTTACCTAGCAGACAGGAGATTATGCATATGTCATAATGATGGTTTAATGGAGAACATAGTAAACACTAATTATGTAGAATATTTTTATTTTAAAAACAAAATTAATAATAATAATAATAATTAATTTTTAATTTAATGTAATGGCTTGCGGTTGATTAAACCCCAAGGAGGTTTGATTGGGACACTATTCTTCCAAACACTTTTATATGATTTGCCCACTCAGTCTTCCTTTGCTGCTTAATTATTTTAATTCATCTTTGTTTCCACCATCTTAGAATTTCTTTTATTATATTTGGTATTTCTTGCAATAATTTGTTTTGGTATCTCTCTCTCTCTCTCTCTCTCTCTCTCTCTCTCTCTCTCTCTCTCTCTCTCTCACACACACTCTCTCTCTCATGTTTTCACTTTCCAAGACCTACATAATAATAGTATAAGTGTATGTAATTTAAAGAGGTCTACTTTGATTATGTGAATCTTTTGCTTCAATACATGATGATTGAGTAGTTTCGTTTAAGTTTCTTTAAAATATACATTTAATTAGGGTTGGCAATCGCGCCATTTGAGCCGAGTTTAGATCGACTCGATCTCGCATACTATCAGGTTTTATTGCTATAGGAACAAGCAAACAAGACCGGAGTAGGGAAAGTCCAAACAAGAGGAAGGCTACGTGTTTCCGAGAGACCTGCAAAAAGAAGTTATGGGGAAGAATTCTCAGCATTCGCACTCCTGACGGTCAAGTCAATCGGAATCGTAAGAGAATAAAATCAACTATTCATTGATTCAGTGATTTATACATAAAACAAATGATGAAGGAATATTCATTAAATTTCGTAATTGAGGGGTGTGTTTTGCGATACATCCCATAATTCAGGGGCGCAAAGTGAACTTTACCCTATTAATATTGACATACATTACACCATTCTGATTTTAGACAGCAAAAGAATATGATAAAAGCAGCCAAATGTCACATTATAGAGCAACTATATATATAGGTGAAAATAGGTACAACAGTTGACAAAATATCATAACACCAGTACAAAATACATGGAAGTCAAAATTCATACATACTAGGATCATAATCATCATAATATAAACACATTCTTAAGGTTTGCTGCAAAAAGAAATATCCCAAAAATAATCAATCAAAAGATGTGATGTTTTGTATTCTCTAATTTGTACCCGTTTTATCCCCTTTGAGCTCCACATTTTAAAATAAGATGATCATAAGTCGTGTTTTTTGGCTTATAAATATCAGATTGTGGTGCATCAGAAACTGCATTTTTACACAAAACGAGTACAAACTATAGACGAAACGAGTACAAACTATAGACGAAACGAGTACAAACTAGAGAACATTCTTCGGATCATAGAGGATTATATTGAATTTGAACCGTAAGAGTGGACGTGTAAGAAGATTCATATTTGATGGATAGTTGTAATTACCCAAACATTAGGGGGGTTTTCGTAATTTAACCTGACCTTAGGGGCCATCCATAAATAAAAGGAACGCAACAATAAATTAGTACATTAACCAACTATATCCGATATCCACAGGTCTCCAGTGTATTACTTTTGTACAAATAAATCCATTCAAATATATTTTTACTGCATAAAAGCTTAACAAGACCACTAATACGACTCCGATCCTACTGATTTTCGAGCGAAATGTAAAATCTAAGATTCAATCAATTGTCGCATAAAGACGAAACAAACTGTAATTGTAGAATATAAAACATCTGGAGAAAAAACATGCTTCGAAGGAGGGATAGGAAAACCACTGCAAAACAGAGGAAAGCTAATGCTTCTCTTTGTTGCCCCTTTGATGTATTATATACACAGGAAAACGAAAAAAAAAAAAAAACCTATACGATGCGATACGATGCGATTCTCACTTCTAAACCAAAATTCTTCAAACTTTTTTTTTCAGGCTTTTTTTTTTTTGGTTTTTAATCACTCTGAATCTTCAAACTCGAACAAATTTCAAAGAAAACAAATGAAACAGAAACGTCAAGAGACAAAATGAGCAAAACTACCAACTAAAGTTGTGACAGGTACCATGAAACCGTCGCTTTGCCTATCAGTGAGTGATAATAGCTAACCGAAAAACAGAATCATTAGCTATCCTCCTATTGCCGGACTGAAAACCATTTCCTGCATTAAAAAAAAAAACAACAAATTATTCTCAGGGCCTCCAAGGTAACAAAGTTAAATAATTACGAGAAAAAAAAGTAACCTGATCACACACAGGACAGGTGTCACTTCTTTCCATCCATTCAAGAATACAACCAAGGTGAAAATGGTGCTCGCATTTCGTGACAATCTTGGGGTTCTCTAAATCATATTCTGCAAGAGTAGAGAAGTTAAGGGTTAACAACGTCAATTTTTTATAGCTGCGTCAATAAGGAGAAGAGTCGGTTAAATAAGAAGGGTATTTTGCTATTGCACCTTCAAGACAAGTGGGGCAGATATCTTCCTCGTCTTGCAGCGGTGGAAACATTGGTTCAATGTTCTTTTTAAGTTCATCTGACTTTTCATCCTCCACTTCTTTCGATTCTTCCAAATCGGCATTTATTTTGGTACTTTCATCAGACTCGAGGTTCTTTACCTTGGTCTCCAATGTGTCGCCGGAGTTTGTGTCTTCACTGGTAGTGGTGGTGGCGGCGGCGGTGGTTTGTAAAACCAGTTGAGTCTTGTTATCGGACCTTTCTTGATTGCTTGATGGGGTAGAGGGGTGCCCTACGTATGTATCATACGGTATAGGTGCAGGGGGAGGGTGATAAGTGTCTGGGATTGAGGTATCTAAATTGGTATCGACCAAAATCGCAGCAGAGGCTGTTGCAATGTGAGATGATAACGGTTCATGCTCTTCTGACACTGGATACTTCAATGACAAGAATCCACGATCATAAAAATTTCAATAATGTCAGTCATTGAGGTTACGAGCAGATAAAGGAGTTGAGTCGTACTGGCAATATTTAATTGGAACTAGTTACAGCATAATGCAAAATAAAACCAACCGAAAAAGGCGGGAAATATCAGTATAGAAATATAAGAGTTAGTATGATAAACATCTACTAATACAGTCACTATCGAAGAAACTGGATTATCCAACAGCAAATCTTATTCCAAAACCGAGACAGACACTCACAAGCAACGACCAGGTTATCAAACTCTATCTATTACAAAGAAGCTCTTTCAACAAATCAAATTGAGTTCTTCATACTTTATAGTTAGTCAGAGTTAAAAAGATGTTGCTTCAGTCAATTACTGCAGCTCCTCAGAGATTCGTTTCGAAACTTTCCATCAATAAAATATTGGTAGTCTACAAGAAGCTAAAAATAGCTGTTATTTCATCAAAATGCTGTTTCTATCTTTTAAATCAATCTCGTATAATATCCGGTAATGATCAAGTATGTTGGTTTCGACTCGAACGTTGGATTCTCGGGAGAGAGCATACTATTTGATCAATGCAAAGCAAGTATGCGATTTAACTAATCCGAAACAACAATTGATATGGAGTAAGAGATCACTCACATGAAAATATTGTGGGGAGCTATTAAGATTAATGCTCTTAGACGCACAGCAACAACAGCCTCCCATCTCTATTTAATTATATTTCTCATCCACCTGATGCCACCTGGCACTTTGCTCATTGTCCTCTTCTCTACATAACATAAAGCACCAATAAGTACATTAGCCAACTCGCCGATCAAATTTAACATTCGGAAAGCAAATTTCTGCTACAAACAGCTCAAAAGTTACACCCTTCCAAAAATATCAAGAATTAAGATAAGGGTTTCAAACGACATCAATTACTGAAATCAACGTGCAGATAAAGAGGCTCTACTTAGAAGAACGTAAGTGGTAAATAGACAGAAATTTGACTTGAAGTTTGATCGATCAAATCTACTGTAATATAACAGTTCACTAGTCACACAATGCTTGAAGTATAAGTAGGACAACAAGTAATATGTTTCTCTTGTAACTTGTTTCGGATTCGATTCTCTGTTTAGTGTCATACTTAAAACTTATTAATATTTTCGATCTATTAGAAATTCAAGACACTTTTAGTCGAGAAAGCTTCACCACCTTCTGTGTCACTTCGTATTGCAATATATATCCGTAACGAAAACAAACATAAAAAAAAAAATCAGAAACAGATTCTTTAACGAATTCAGCACATCAAATGAGAAAGAAAAAAAACAGCATCGATAAAACGAATTACAACAGTGCCCGATTGGTGTAAGTCTTAACTGATTTAATCATGGATTCTATTAATCCCCAATTAAATTAAAAAAAAAAATCCTCGAAACACAATCAACAACCAATAATTGCTCATACCGAAAAACAACTAAAAATTCCCAAAATTCACTTTGATTTAAGAGTATAATTCTAAGAGAGAGAAACCACGGGCACCCAATCACGAGCGCCACAAACTTACAGACAAGGTGGACTGACGAACTTCTACGATCATAGACTAAGTCGCAAAGAAATTAAATAAATATATATGCATAATTTAACAACAGTATGAAATTTTCAAAACCCTACACATAAATAGGAATTATCCATGGATTTGCTCAAAAGAGAAAACACTCAGCTATATAAAACTCAGCATAAACAAACAAAATGGCGAACAGAAAATTCTAATCAAACAAATTTAATCCGCCAATCAAAATTCAGTACACGAGTTCTGCTCAGCGGAAACGATTATACAGACACGGCACAGACAAATACACAGCCGTGCACGCATACATAGAAACGAGATATATATACGTATAGATGTGTGTATCTATACCTCTTTAATTGAGACTGGAATTGCAGAGAACTCTGCGCGTGTGTTTGCGTGAGAGAGAGATTTTTACTGAAAAGGACGACGACGACGACCTGGAAAGTTGCATAAATGTGTGTGAGAATAATTCGATTACATACTCTCTATACTAATTATCTTAATTAATTTGCATTTATTATTTTTAATTAAAAAGATAACCAAAATTGGAGGACTTTAATTGTTTGGGTATAAATAAAATTGTCACAGATTTTGCTTGATGCCCCTAGACCCTAGTTTTGAATTTTATATAAAATTACAAATTAAAAAATAAAATTGAATGGTGCAGTAATTGTGGATTGGCATTTGGGTGAAATTCGGACATGTTGGATCGAATTGGTTTTTTTTTTTTTGTTCCGGGAAAGGAAATTAGCTTTACGGGAGGGAAAAAAACTAATTTTAATTTATTCAATTCCAAAAAGTCAGAAAACATATTCAAAATTTAAGAATTTGGGAATTGGATTTTTTTTTCAGAATTTTCTTATTGAAATAGGTGGAATCGAAAATTTTAGTTTTTTTTATTCAAATATAATATGAAATACGTAATAATACTAATGTTGTAAGTTTAATTTTGAATTATTTGTGAAAAATAAATTGAATACAAAATTGAAATATAATATGTTTTCCAACGTGGATCCTAAAGAATTTGATTAAAAACGAAAATAAATTTCTTTTATTACTTTGATTCATCCATTAAGGCTGACCAAATTGCATTGTTTCTAGTTCTATGAGCCCCTTGTTCGAATCGTGATTGATAATTCCTCGAGGTCATGTTCGGTTGTTAAGATAAAGGTCCACTAAAAACTATATTTAGAAGACAAGTTATAACATAATATTACGGGTCGACTCTAGAAGTTATTGGAAATACTAAACATCAAACAACTCTTCTAATCCAAACGAGGCACAAGTATAAGATTTATCCATAGCACTTTATCCAAGTTTTATCCACAACACTTCAATTTTTATTATGAAATTTAAAAAAAAAAAAAAAAAAAATTGAAGTTGAAAAATAATCAGGGCGTGGACGCGTATACGAATTTAGAGATTTGGTGGCTGCCCTTCTAAGTTCTAACAACTAAACTCTTTTTTCTTGTGTAATTGGGTCCCACCCACTTACTGAAAATTCTTTTCCAACCACTAATTATTTTTATTTTTTTCCAAATTAATAAATGATAAATTATTGAGGTCCGAATATATTTTATTCTTTGTTTAAAATGAAAAAAAAAAACCTTACTTTAAATTTTAAAACTAATTGAGCAAATTAATGGGGATTTCCAATCCAACACACAGTTACACACAGCTGGTTCTACATTAATTAGCAGTCAATAATTAGAGGTGAAATAAAGTTAGGGTTCATAATAACACTATATATATACCTACATACATACATATACATATATATTATATTACAGGCAGAGTGAGTGAGTCAGCATATGTAACTCTGAATTGGTCTAAAATATTAATACTTGCCAGATAATTGCAGTCTCTTCTTGGCCGCACGAATAAATTCAAGAATCACTTGTACCTCGTCCACTTTCTGCACCCAAAAAATAACACCAATTAATTGGAAATTATACATCTTTTATTACATTATAAATTAATGGCATTATATAAATATGATCATACATGTAAGAAAATTAACCTGAGAAGAAAAGTGCTTCTGGACCGCGTTGACCAGTTGTTCCTTTGTAGGATTAGGACTTATATTGGCCTGCTGCATATTTTGAATTTTAGAAACCCACACCATTTATGCAAAATTAAATCGAAAACGTGAGGAAAAACGAAGAACATGAAAAACACCCACGAGGTGGAAACTTCGCCAATATCTGCATAGTGATCCAGTCCCGAGCTTTCCCAAGTTAACTCTCTGATCAATGCAATACACTACGATATCAAGATTAATGCATTTAATATATATATATATATATATATATATATATATATATATATATATATATATATATATATATATATATATACATATATGCTAGTTGATTTTGTTGTGCTTACCAATTGTGTTGCGTTACATGGTCGATTATACCGAACTCTTGGCTTGCTTATCTTGCTGAAGTGAAAGCCGTAAGCTGTTCAAAGGAAAAAATAGGACAATACTTCAAAAGGGCTAAGAATATTTTATTTAAAATTGAACCCCTTAAAGACCATAAGCAGAATGGACGATGATTTTAGGAATATTGTTGCTTTCGCAGGGGCAAAAGCGGAAACTTACAAAAGCGGCGGTGGTGCTTGTCACAAATATCAGAGCCACTGCTAGAATCATCAATGTCGTAATCATCATCATCATCGTCTTCGTTCCCAGTTGGAGGTTCTAATACACTCAATGCATTCCTTTGGAGCTTCACCTCGACACCATTCTTTAGTACCTGTTCGTCATTTCACATGTAATGACAAAAACATTTAAAGGTTTAGCAGAAAAGAAAAAGGAGAATCAAGAACACAAAGAACGAAGCCCGATTAAAGGAGAATCATTTTTTTTCTTCGAAAAGCACATTCACTAAAACAGCAAAGTTAACGAAAGGGCAACCTTTCGATTTCAAACAATTCGAACTCTAGCTTTCACAGTTTCTGCAATCTTCAATTTCAACTCTTCTTCACTATTGTATTTATCAGGAAACGAAAGTGAGATTATATCAAAGTGAGATTATATCAATTTCGGATGTAGAAATTTCTAGAACTTTAGCAAGGTAGACAAGACAATCATCTGAAACGATTATTTCAATACTACTATTTTTATGTATAAATTAATTTATTACTATATATATATATCACCAAAGACAATTTAATTATAAATTAATTTATTATTAACAGTATCGGACATAGCTTTTCCTGTGATTTTGTTAACCAAGAAAGTTCATACAAAAAAGACGACTTAACACTAATATCAGTTTGGAATCAATCTTCTACTACTAAAAGAAAGCGGAAAAAAAAAATGAAATTAGGAACATATCATTTGTAAGATAACGAAAGATATACCAGCCAATGCCAACCACCAAGCCCAACAGCCTTCTTGACGACACCTTGCAAACCGACCAAAACGCTCTTTGTTCTGTTATTACCTGTCACAATAACCTTCGTATGCCTAGGAAGAACAGCTAGCTCTTCATCGCCATTTTCTTCTCGGAAAGGTGACAAAACCCTCGACGGGCACGATTCAATTTCCAGCATCTTACTGTTGAACAGGAAACCGAAACCAAATCTTTTTTTTTTTCGTTTTTTTTCTTTCTATTGGAGCTGTCCTTTTTTAGGCATTCTCTACACTACAATTTCTTCATTCAACCGATCTTCATGGTAGGAAACACGGCAACCGTAAGGACCATAACCCTTTGTATATAACAGCACCGGTCGATTTTTTTTTTGTTTTTAACAGCAGGCGGAAATTCGAGCACTGCGAGTCATAAATAAAATACAGAGCCTCAAGCTATATTATAAATGAATTTTGATTCGACAAGTTGCGAAATCTGTGAGTGAAGATTAAAAAACTTGTTTATAGGTATGACATGTATAATTTGTGGGTAATTTAAATGTTATGCATTGAATCTCTTGCTCACGGGCTCAGTTCAATAACAATAAATGAAGCAGAAATTAATAAATAAATAAATAAAGTACTCTCTCTCTTCCTCCCAACACACACACACACACACACACACACACACACTAAAAACACACACACACACTAAAAACACACACACACAGTAAACACACACACACACACAACATGTTTGTAAAAATGCTTGAATTAAATTCTGACAACCTAAAGCAGCTCTGGTATCACAATTTATAATGTCATTAACAACTTTCTGCAAAGATCTCTGCATTTATCCAAATTATATAGCCAGATATAAATAAGAACTACTCAAATATATACAAATACACATAAAAAAAAAACTAAGCAGGACTCAGAAAATAGCAGATGAGAGAATTCAGTTTTATACAGAATTCATTTCTCACACAATTAGTACGAAATTTGAAAATTGAATTTGAAAATTGAAAATTGAAAATGGCGTTACCAGTTCTGTACGGACGGCGGAATCTTCAAGCTAGAGAGAGAAAGCAGCGGAAATTCGATAATGCAGTCATATTCGAAGAGCGCTGGTAGTTATTGTTGCAGAGGATGATGGAGGAGTGAGAAAGTAGTGTGTGGGTTTTGTGCGCCTGTGTGTGTGAGAGAGAAAGTAGGGGCGCACGCAGTAAATGCAGTGCAACTGCCGTTGGAATGGGGATTGGGAGAAGACCTGCTACTGCTAAATTGCAGTGAAGTTGTACGGTCTCTGCTGCTACTTTTGCCCAATTGTTTAACCGGCTGAGTAGGTGGCCGGTCGCAGTGGCTCGGCTTATGTGTGGGAGCCGCGCTGGTGAAGTTTATCCTTATCTGATTGGTTGGAGGAAAGTGGGGCCCTTTCAATTTTGTATGAGCTGAATATTAATGGTGGATTTAAAACACAATCTAAGTTTAGGTAGGTTGGGCCTACTGAAAGAGGAGTATTAAATTGATTTGGTCTTAATTGAGTCTAATTAATTATGAGCTGAGCTGAGTTGGAGTTATCTTAATTTGGAAAAGTTTATGAGATGAGTTTGAAATTAATTAGGGGTGTAATGAGTTGAGCCAAGAGTCATGGACTCGATGAGTTGGCTCGACAAATACTCGATTTTTTTGAGTTTAAGCTTTTCCACGGATTCGAGCTCGAGCCCATTTTTAGTTGTTCAGAAGTTCACGAGCCGTTTCACGAGCTTTTATATTTATCTTTATTATTATTTTTATTAATAATATATAAACCAACTAATATACAATATAAATATGTATTAAAAAAATTACAGATTAATGTTTTATTCTGTATTTTTTTTATTTCTTATCTAAATTATTTATAATAGAAGATAAAATTAATATATATTCGTTTGAGATGAAAAGTAATTAATACAGGATTGCAAAGTTAAGCAGTTCACACAGTCATGGATAACGAAAACAAAAAGGGGCAGATTTATATGAGTCTCTAAGCATACTATAGATGATGTTCTTACACAATCGAAATCGAATGCAAATATTAATTAAATCGAACAATTTAAAGAGGCAGCAATACTGAGAAAAATCGAGGAAGAAAAGAAACAGACAATTCTTACAAAATTGAAGCTCTATTAACGGTGATACAAACATGATTATATCAACACTTTAAAACAGATAATAACGAAAATAAATGCAACACTTTTCAGCAATTTTAAATAAAACCTGGGAACTTAGGTGGCAGAGAGAAGGAGGAGGTGGGGGCTGCACAGATAACTTAGGTGGTGGAGATGCGGGATAATATTAAAAAAAGATTGAGAAAATATGTAAGCAAGTGGAAGAGGGCGGCGTCTGCAATTGGTTGAAAAAGAGGTGGGAAGTGATGTTGGCCGCAGGGGCGGTGGGCATCGAACGAAGCGGCTGCGGCGGGCGTGGAAGCGGCGAACGATGGTACGGTGGAGGTCAACAATTGTGGCCAGATGTAGAGGCCTTCGCTGAAACGACGTCGTTTTCGAGCGAGCAGATTAAAAGAAAAGGTAAAAAAAGAAGCAGACACGTCGTGGTCGAGCAGCTTGGGAAGAAAAGGAAAAAGAAAAGAACGCGGCCAGCTGATTGGAGAGGAGGACGTGAACGACAACGTTGCGCAGAAAAAAAAAGCAAAAACAAAAGGCAGAAAAAAAAAAGGGGACGATCCCCATATATATACTTAATATAACGAGCTGAACTCGCTCGGCTCGACTTCAGCTCGAGTTTGAGCTCATCAAATTTAACTCGAGTTCGACTCATTTACACCCTTAAGCTCAATTGAACTAATTAATACCAAATAAATAAATAATATAAATATCAAAATTTACATTTACACTTACATTTTTTAATAAAAAAAATCTAGAAAAAACATCATAAACACACACACAAAGTGTGTGATAGTATGTGTAATTATCATAATTACATTTTGGACCTAAACAAATAAAAGGTCCAAAACTAGTAGTGGGAGATGTAGAGACAAGGACCACCTAATGTTCCAATTATGGGCTCCCAATATTTCAAGGAAACGTCTTGTCTCATCAATCTCCGACAGGCCTTCTCAACGGTCCAGATTCTTCTCTATTTTTTTCCCTACCATATTTGCCCCCGTTAACGAATCTTCTTCAGGGGTATAAAGTGTCATTTCACTATTCGGCTCCACGCCAAGTCGATTAACGGCGGCTAAGAGCTGGTGACCGTTGGGACGTGACGTATGAAAGAAAGTACACGTGTCGGGTACAAATCTGTCGGGTCTTATCCCTCGTACCCGACTAGATATTTTTCGCTTCTTCGATAATTTTTATTTTTTCACCAAATAGAAAGTGAAAATAAATAATAATACTTCTCTTACAAAAAAGAAAATAAATAATAATAGAGCAAATTGCACTTCACCCCCTTAAAAATATCTTTTTTGCACTTTCTCTCTCTCTCTAAAAAAAAATGAGACTGTCCCCCTTCGAAATATACAACTCTGTACACTTTGCCTTGGTGTAATTCTCATCGAATAAATGGTGTATATGTCATTTGACTCTTCTCTCTTGAAAATCCTCCTATCAGGGTTAGGGTTCACAAATTAACTAAATTCTCTTCGCTTGGGGTGAGCAAAAAAACCTAAAAGTCGAAAAACCAAACCAAAAAACCGAAAAACCAAGTCATTTCAAACCGTACCAAATAGTAAAATGCATGTACGTTTTCTATTTTTGAAATGCCGAATTATTCAGTTCTGTATGGTGGAAAGGTAAATAACCGAACCGAAATTAAATTATAAAATGACTTCATTTTATATAATATATGTATTATTTTACCTTAATTTTTATTTTCTATCTTTCAATTACTTGTCTTATTCTAAGCATTTGTTCATAAATTGAGACATTGTATTTTATTTATTTAGTAATTAAAAATTTACTTGAGTTCATGATTTTAATAATGTAGTAGATGACAGTAGGAAAAAAAAAATGAAGCATAATATATCATCTAAATTACGTTAAGTCCTATGGGATTAAAGATTTTATAATTTCATTACATTAGTAAGTTGTGAAAGTAATTGTAATTGTATTCTTTTGTTTGTACAACTTGAATAATATAGTTACTCTTGAACCAAAAAATAACCGAAACCGAACCGAAAAAACCCGAAATCGAACCGAAACCGAACCGATAAAAAACCGACATACACGTTTTTTATTTTACAAAAATCGATATAATCGGTTCATGTTCGGTTTTAGCCAAAACCGAACTGAACCGAGCCGTGCACACCCCTACTCTTCGCAAAATGAAATTCCCTTCCAAATTAGACAAAATTTTCTTCCACATTCGACAAAATTTGTTCTTTTTTCTACATAATCATTGTAATATAGGCTAAAAAAAAGGTTAATGACATTTAAAACCTTAAAAGACAGAATTACCCTTTCAATTTACTCAAATCCGACAAGAATTAAAACAGAAATACACATTGACGGTAACGTGCACCGAGTTGTATATTTCGAAGGGAGACAGTCTCTTTTTTTCACTTTTAGGGGGGAGAGTGAAAAAAATGTATTTTTTAGAGGGTGAAATGGAATTTGCCCATAATAATAATAATAATAATAATAATAAATTAATAAATAAATAATTCACATAAGTTAGTGGCCCAACTGAAAATGAACCCAACCCAGCTATTGGGCCAAACTATCCGCTACCTGAAAAAACTGAAAAAGTTCATTCTTAAAACAAATTACCAGTACACGTACTGCAACTCGTTTTTTAACAACTTTCAAAAAATTACAATTGTTGACCAATATTTCAGAATAATTCCAATTGTGCCCCACTTTCGTTTGAAATTAGAAGTCTGAACTCTGAACTCTGAACCGCCTTTACATAACTGCTTCTTCCCCTCTCTCTCTCTTCTCTCTCTCACACACTGAAACACACACGCAATGGCGCTAATATATAAGTACAATCAATTCAACCAAACTGATTGTATTCACACATTTTACATATTTCACCAGAATCTGAAAACCCTAAGCAAAAGAGGAAAAAGTGAAGAAGCAGAGGCAAATTAAGAGCAATGGCTGATGAATATAAGCGCCGTAACGCGGATATCACGAATCTGTAATTGCTCCTTCCATGGAATCTTCTTCCGTTTTTTTTTTTTTTTTTTTTTTAATTTCAGTATATTTTACTGCATCTCTGTGATTTTATAATTGATTTTTGTTCATCGTTTTGTGATAGGAAATGCGCTGGATTTGAGGTGGACATGGTTGATAATCGACTGCAAGAGTTCTCTGTGAAGTTCCATGGACCCCGAGGCAGTAAGTAATACTTTCCCCCCCCCCCCCCTTTTTTATGGCCGATTCAATTTTTTTTTATTTTTTTTGGTGGCTTTATATGATCTTGCTTTAGGTATGATTGGGATAAAGATTAATTGCGAATCGACATTTTAATTGAAGTTGCCTTATTTTGCCTGTTCAATTCTGCTGTTAACGCGTTATTCTGATACTCGATTTTTGGATTTCTGAGTTTAATTTGATGTGCCAATTTAGGCGATCCAAAGTCGTTCGGATTGATTAATTCGACATTGGATTTTAAATTTCTTTATAAAAAAATTTATTTTATTTTGGCTTTAGATGATCTTGCTTTAGGTATGATTGAGATAAAGAGTAATTGCGAATCGGCATTTTAATGGAAGTTGCATTATACAGCCTATTCAATTCTGGCCGGGAGGTTTATTCTGATATTCGATTTTTGGATTTCTGAGTTTAGAGTCTCCTTGTTTTTTATCAGTTCCTAATTTGATGTGTAATTAGGCGATCAAAACTCGTTCGGATTGATTCATTCGACCTTGTATTTGAAATCAATTTACAACATTTTTTTTAGCTTTAGATGATCTTGCTTTAGGTATGATTGAGATAGAGATTAATTGAGAATTGACATTTTAATTGAAATTGCATTATTTGGCCTATTCAATCCTGCTGTTAACGTGTTATTCTGATATTCGATTTTTGGATTTCTGAGTTTAATCTGCTTGTTTTTATCAGTTCCTGGAAATTTGATGTGTAATTAGGCGATCCAAACTCATTCAGATTGATTCATTCGACATTGTATTTGAAATCAATTTTACCTTTTTTTTTTTTTTTTGATTTATTGTGTTGGATTCCAAAATTCATCTCGTTTCGAGGCATTTGAAATCCCAATCCAATATTTGAGAAGAAAAAAATTGCGATATTTTCCAATTTCGATGGTGTGTAAATATATATATATCTGTAGCAAATTATGAAGGAGGAGTTTGGAGCGTAAATGTGTTTCTGGCAAGTGATTATCCAGTTATGTATCCTATCCTTCAATTTTCCGACAAGATTTACCATCCAAATATCAGTTATGCGTAAGTCTTCCTATTTTCTCATACATATTGTTTTTTTGCTTTTTCGACATCTAAAGATGGTAATAAAATAACAAAATGTTTCAATATGATCTTGTGTTCGTTTCAGAACTGGCACTGTGTGTGTAAATGTTCTCCGACAAGCCTGGAAAAATGGACATGGTTAGTCTACTCTATAGTAGTCCTGCCGGTTTCATTTCTCGATTTTATTTAATATATAATTTTTTTCGGGTTTATCTTACAGATCTCAAACTACTGTTTGGAACTTTTCTTCCACAACTTCTTAAAGAACCAAACGTCGACCGCCCTTTCAATTTAGAAGCTGCGAATTTGATGAAAAATGACCCCTCTGCATATGAACAGAAAGTTAGAGGTCGGAAAATTATATTACTCTTGTAACGATAACTTATTCATTTTATCATAGCTTCGTTTATTGGAATCTATTGTAACTGTACTATTTTTCTTTGCTTATATTCCGGGATTAATTATGTTACTTTATTCTAGTCGAACGTTTGTTAAATTTTCAGATGAAACTGAGGAACATGCGAAGCCAGCTGCCGTCAATGCTGCTGCAGAGGAGACAGCTGAGAGTACAGATTGATCGGTGAAATTTTAATCGAAAAAAAGAAGCTAATAATTGAGAGGCATTCTTTGTACATTGAATGTGTATAGTCGATTCGAATAATAAAACTTGAATACCCTAATCATTTCTTTTGTTGCCGTTTTGATGGGCTAAAAACGAGAATCGAGTGATTTCGATTTTTGAAGCTGTATGTTTTTTTTTCTGCATTTTTAGCAGAGTTAGACCTATTTCTGCAGATATAATAGAGTTTTTTTTGGACTAATTGCTCCAGTGTTTATGTTTTACTTTAATTGTCAAATTTACTTTTGCAAGTATAAATTATTTTATGGTTGAATGCAAATGCATAAAAAGTAGAGTTAAACTAGTACTCCACAAATATATTTAAAGGGTGTTAAGTGGCATTAAATCAAATGAATAACACAAACACATCATTAAAAATATAATTAAATACTATCATTAACTTAAATTTAACTAAAAAAATAATATCACACCACAATCACTGTTGTGAATTTAAGGGGGAAAGAAAAAGGGTAAATTCCACTTTTCCTCTTAGTACTTTGGCTCGATATCACTTTACCCCTTTTTACTCTTAATTGCATTGATTTGCCCCTTGTACTTTGGTTCGATTGTTTGTACATTGAATGTGTATATAGTGTCGATGTGAATAATAATAGAGTTATTTTTCTGGACTAATTGCTCCAGTGTTTATGCTTACTTTAATTGTCAAATTTATTTTGCTAGCCTAAATTTATGTTTAGTTTAATTGTTTGGGGATTAGTACATGAGGGATTTTGCTAATAAAAATTAATAGACATATTTTTTGTTAAAAAATATAATTAAAGGGTGTTAAGTGGCGTTAAGCCAAATGAATAACACAAGCACATCATTAAATATAATTAAGGTGGTGTTTGCAAATGATTATTTAAAAGCAGAAGTTAGTGATTGTGATTTAAGTTAGTTTTAAGTGCTTATTTCTAAAAGTTAAATACTATCATAAACAAAGTTAAAATAATATCCAAACAGAAATACCTTCTAAAATAATAATAAACCGAAAAAGTACCTTTTAAAACAAATTACCGGTATTTGTTTCTGAACAACTTTTCGAAATTACAATTTTACCCAAACAGTTCAGCTTAATTCCGTTTTGCCTACTGAAGCGTGAACCGTCTTTGCATAACTGCTTCCCCTCTCTCTCTCTCTCTCTCTCTTCACTCTCTCTCTCTCTCTCTCTCTCACACACACACACACACACACAGACACACACACACTATGGCGCTAAAGTATAAATACAAACAGCTGTTTGTATTTTTATGCACAATCGCACATTCACACATTTCACCACACTTCGAAATCCAGAGAATCGAGAGAAAAAAAGTAAAGAAGGCGTACGAGTTGAGATCGAAGGAAGAGAAAAGCAAAGAGAAACCATGGATAACCGTTTGAGGAAGGAACAGGATTTGAAGGAACTGTGAGTTACTTTTGAGAATTTTGATTTTAATTGTAGTACTTTTGAGAATTTTGATTTTGTTGATTTTTATGATAGATTGATGGCTGATTTTAAGGTGGATACGCCTGCTGATGATATGAACGTGCTCTTCGTGAAGTTCCATGGACCCAAAGACAGTAATTTTTTTTCCAGATTGGTTTTGAGTTGATAATATAATTTTCATTCAAGTTGCATTTTTGGTTCAGTTCTGATAATTTGTTGTCAAGTGTTGCATACCAAGTGTTTGATATTTGGATTGTTTAGATTCGATTCATTTGTTGAATCCTAAAATTGTTGCATTTCTGGTTATTACGAGATTCGATTTTTTCGGATTATTAGATTGCAAATTTTGGTTTAGATCTTTATCTTCAATTTGTTAGGTCCTTATGAAGGAAGAGTTTGGATGGTAAGGGTGGATCTGGCAGATGATTATCCATTTACGGCTCCTTCGATTGCCTTTACCGACAAGATTTACCATCCAAATATCCATGAGCGGTGAGGATTTTATTTTCTCATCTCCATTTTTTTTTTTTTTTTTTGCCTATGATTTTTTTGTGTTCATTTCAGGTCTGGCGCTGTCTGTTTAAATGTTATCAACGAAGACTGGACACCCGTAACTAGTAAGTTGATAGTCTTAGCATTCTCAGAGATCATTTTCCGAGTCATTCTCAGAGATTTTGTTTATTTTCTTTTCAGGCCTTTTACATGTGTTTCAAGACTACATTCCACAACTTCTCATCAACCCAAATCTTGATGACCCTATGAATGTACAAGCTGCAGTTATGATGATTAACTACCCCGCGGCGTACTATCCGTTTGTTAAAGGTAGAATTTCTTTGACTTAGATTTTTGACTAATTTTGGTTTTTTCATTCATCGACATGGCATTATCCAAAACTTCCAAAATGCTTATGTTTCTGTGTAGGAAATGATTACCAAATTAGAAATGAAATTGTTTTCTTTATCTCGCTTTGGTGAAAAGGTTCAATCGTCCTGCTCTCCAAATATCTGTCTAGTTACACAATAATAGCTCATTGTGAAGCAATTTTTTAATTTTGTAGAAACTGCAGTGTAGAAGGGTCTTTTTGGTTTCTAAAATGTGTAAGTAAATGTTTGTGAATTTTTCAATTTTTAAAATTTTGATTGTAATCTATTGAAGGTGAGATGAGATGATCTTAAATTCTTCAAAATTCAGGTGCTTTTTCGGTATATGACTGTGCTCAAATCTTTTATGTTCTATCTCAGTGTGAATCCGTCTATTTTCCTGTTGGCTAGCCCTTTGTTATATTCCTAATTTGTTTCCTTGAATTTTATAATTTGAACATAGAATATTTCGACTTGTTGCTAACAAACATGTAATTTCAATTTGTCTTATAATTTTTTTTATTTTTGGAAGAGTCTAACGGGACATGATTGTGTTTCAGACCATTGCCAGAAACATGCGATGCCTGCTGAGGAGAATATATCTAGTAGTGAAAGCGAGGTGAGTGTAGATGAACGTAGCTCCAAAGCTGGAAGTACCGATGATGATGAGGAGAGGAAAGCTGGAAATACCGATGATGAGGAGAGGAAAGCTGGAAATACCGATGATGAGGAGAGCAAAGCCGGAAATACCAATGATGATGAGGGCGGCAAAGCTGGAAATACCAATGATGATGAGGAGGACAAAGCTGAAAATACCAATGATGATGAGGACAAAGCCGGAAATACCGATGATGATGAGGAGAGCAAAGCTGGAAATACCGATGATGATGAGAGCAAAGCCGGAAATACCGATGATGAGGAGGGCAAAGCTGGAAATACCAATGATGAAGAGGACAAAGCTGAAAATACCAATGATCATGAGGACAAAGCTGGAAATACCGATAATGAGGAGGACAAAGCTGGAAATACCGATAATGAGGAGGACAAAGCTGAAAATACCAATGATGATACGGACAAAGCTGGAAATACCGATGAGGAGGGCAAAGCTGGAAATACCGATGAGGAGGGCAAAGCTGAAAATACCGATAATGAGGAGGGCAAAGCTGAAAATACCGATGAGGAGGAGAGCAAAGCTGAAAATACCGATGAGGAGGAGAGCAAAGCTGGAAATACCAATGAGGAGGAGGGCAAAGCCGGAAATTCCGATGGTGAGGAGAGCAAAGCTGGAAATTCCGATGAGGAAGAGAGCAAAGCTGGAAGTACCAATGATGAAGAGGGCAAAGCTGGAAGTACCAATGATGAAGAGGACAAAGCTGAAAATACCGATAATGAGGAGGACAAAGCTGGAAATACCGATAATGAGGACAAAGCTGGAAATACCGATAATGAGGACAAAGCTGGAAATACCGATAATGAGGAGGACAAAGCTGAAAATACAGATAATGTGGAGGACAAAGCTGGAATTACCGATAATGAGGAGGACAAAGCTGGAAATACCGATGAGAAGGAGGGCAAAGCCGGAAATACCAAGGATGAGGAGGGCAAAACCGGAAATACCAAGGATGAGGAGGGCAAAGCTGGAAATACCAAGGATGAGGAGGGCAAAGCCGGAAATACCGATGAGGAGAGCAAAGCTGAAAATACTGATGATGAGGAGGGCAAAACTGGAAATACCAATGATGAGGAGGACAAAGCTGAAAATGCCAATGATGATACAGACAAAGCTGGAAATACCGATGACGAGGAGGGCAAATCTGGAAATACCGATGAGGAGGACAAAGCTGGAAATAAAGATGATGAGGAGGGCAAAGCTGGAAAAACCGATGATCAGTAAAATTGACTAGTCGAAAAAGGTGATCTGATAATGGTTGTTGATGTGAATAATATACTGTGAATCCCCCATCCCACCCCACATATATCCTATAAATCATTCCTTTGCAGTTCAAAAAAACTGAAGTAGTGAGTTCTGTTACTTTTTAAGGTACTAAAAACCAGAATTGCGTGGCATTTTTAGTGCATATACGGCCACTAATGCGAATTTTGATCGATTTTTTTTTTTTTTTCGTTAATTGCTCCTTGCGTTTACTTTAATTGTCTAAAATTCTTTCTGTTAGGATAAACTAAGTGATGGTCAAAAGTCGAATGCAAATAAATAAATGGTCGATGGTCTTAATTCGAAAAAACACAAAATGAAAAAAATAAGGATGCATTCTATTTTTTCGTTTAGAAATATATTATTTTATATTGAGAAAATAGCCTCATTAGCTGTCATATTACTCTCCTCCGATATTTCTGACTCGCCAGAAGTTAAAATGTCACCAGAAAATAAATGTAAAAATATTTATTTAGTCTAAATTAAAATATAATTTAACAGCAAGAGTCATTGGTATAGTAATAATTTAACAAGTCAAATTATAACATATGTTTTGGTTCAAATTAAATAAAATTCATCTGCTCTTAAGAAAAGGTTCAAGCAGCCAAACTCTTGGATGCAATCTCAAACACATTCTCCGACAGCCCGTTAGCAGACAAGATCATTTCCAGCTCAGCCTGAAATAATAGTAGTACATTAATGTCAAATGACAAAAATCGACCTCAGATGAGTTTTTAATGATTATCGAATAATTTGCAATTGAATTCATGTGAAAATATAGACAAATATTATTTTAGACCTTTGCAAGAGTTTGTCGGGTTTCATCATATCTTTTCCATCTAGAAAAAGCGGAAACCATCCTCGACGCCACCTAATAATCGAAACATGTGATTTATTTAGGGAATATTATAGAATTTAAATTAAAAAGGCAAAAAATACGAGAATAATTGGAGTAAATTCACTATGAACAACAAACCTGTGGGTTTAGCTTGTCTAGCTGCACAACCACTTCGCCCAAAAATCTATAGCCCGATCCATCTTTGGCATGAAAGTTCACCGGGGACCCACAGAATCCTCCAATGAGTGAGTACACCTGTACGAAAATTCGAATTAATTTGTAATAAATTAAGGCCCCGTTTGGTTGCCAAGATAAGCCAAGATTAACTAAATAGTTGAACTTAATTTGATGTTTGGTATCCCCAATAAATTGCCGGGTCGACCCGCCAAAATTATATAATCATGGATCATCTTGCCTTCTAGTGTGTTTTTTTTGTTAGACGTTGCGAGCTCCAATAAAATAATTGGGTTTCATTAGACTATTTAATCTTATCTTGGCTAATCTTATCCTGCCAACCAAACGGGGCCTAAATAGATAAATAATCTGGTCGATTTAGACACGTTAGAACTTAGAAGTAACAAACCTTATTTGGATTACGAATGTCGAAGGCAGGATGATTTAGGAGTTTACGGACATTCTCAACATTTCCAGGTACATCTGACATAGCTTGGAGTGCCAACCATTTATTTATCACCTGCATGAAAATTCAGCCGATTTATTTATTTAATGCGCATTAAGTTCGACTTACGTGGAATCATAGTATTTTCATTATCAAATAATATAGGGTTATTATTAGACTACGTAAATGAACATGCATAAATATTTTGCTCAAGAACAAATAAATAGTTAAATTAAATGAGAGAATATTATATTAGTAGTACAAAAGGCATACCAAGTAATCATGCTGCCACTTGGTGTAGAAATCGGCCAAAACCTCGTCCCGAGTTTGACCAGGTTTCTGGTCAATAGCTACGAGTGCTGAAAATTGCTCAGTCAAATTTGTAGCAGTTTTGTATTCGTGCAACATAAGCTCGGTTATCTCTTCATCTTCAAGTGATCCGAGATACGCTGCAGACAAAAATAGCATATATTCGATTTATTCAAATAAAACAAAAATATTTAATATAATCAAATACACGAAATAACACGGATTTAAATTTTTTTCTTTTTTTTACCAAGGGCGACGTTTTTTAGAGCACGTCTAGCCATGTTTGGATGGTCAAACACGTACTGCTCAGAGCTTCTGTTGTTTTTCACCTGTGAACCATTTACGAAGAAGAAAAAAAAAACCCGTTAATTTTCTTAGTTAAAAAATAACAAGGTGTATCTATCGATGTTAAAATAACGTACAGTGTTAATTAATTCTTGTTTTAATTCAGAAGCGAGCTGCTTTCTGATGAAAGTTCTAACTGCATGAACTGCATCGGGATCGGCAACTTCCAGCATGTCCATTATTTCTCCTTCACCGGGCAGAGTTAATGCCTTTGCAATGAATTCCTAAATAATAAAATAAAAATAAATAAATTAATTAATTAACTATAAAATTGGATCCTAGGGGGGATTTTGCTAATATTTATAACACGGGGTGTTTTTTGACAATTAGAGTAAAACAGGGGTGCTAAATGCAAATACACCCGATAATTAAACATACGACATATATATATATATATATATATATATATATATATATATATATAATTTTACATACATACCTTATCCAAGATTGGATCGCCAAGAATACTTTTAATTCCATGCAAAAACTGCGGATTTAAAACCAATGGCTTGTTTTGCTGAGAATCGGAAACGAGGCTCAGCATCAATTTTCTAGCCAATACTTGCCCAGCCTCCCATCTAAGTCATCAAGAAAACAATACTTCAGATTCTCTCGATTCTTTACAATTTATATTATTATATTATATATATATATATATATATATATATATATATATATATATATACACACAATAAATTACCGGTTAAATTCATCTGAATCATTAGCAAGGAGAAAGTACAGGTCAGCATCGGTGAGATCCGAATCCAGTCTAATAGGAGCACTGTAACCTCTCAGTATCGAAGGTACAGGTCGCTCCGGTACGTCATTGAAAACAAATTCTTCTTCTTTCTGCTCAATTCATAAATTATAATTAATATGTTAAATAATAATAATGGGTCCTACAAGATTCTTGTTCAAAATAAAATAACGATGACCATTTGCAAAAAAAAAAAAAAAAAAAAAAAAATCATTTCGTTCAACATATTATAGAGAATCGGCATATATGTAAATCAAGATTCGGAAAAGAACCTTTGTAACTCGGAGAACGGTAGTGTGAACTGCCTGACCATTGCTAGAGAGAGTCTCCAATTTACCGTCATGGTAAACGGAGGATAAAGGAATATCCTTTCCTGTGGACCCCACCAGGCCCAAAGCTACCGGAATGAACATGGGCTCTTTGACGGGCTGGCCCGGTGTAGAAGGAACCTCTTGACTGAAAGCCCGAAATGTATTTATGACATCAGCAAATAAAAATTTGACGGGTAGAAAACGTGACAAGTTCGAGACCTTACCTAAACTTGAGGGAGAATGTCTTGGCTTCGGCATTGTAGGCAGAAACAACCTTCACACGAGGGGTACCTGCTTGTGAGTACCTGGCATTTTTTCGTTCGAATGAAATAAGATTAAGCACCAAATTTCACGTGTTTATTAAATTTAAAAACAATTTTTTTTTTTAAATGTTATAATTTTTGAAGTATCTTTGATTACATACCATAACAAGAAATTGGAGAAATCGGCACCGTTTGCATCTCTCATGGCAGCAAAGAAATCTTCACATGTCACAGCTTGCCCATCATGCCTCTTGAAATAAAGATCCATTCCCTGAAAAATGTGAAAAAAACACGATCGTGATTTTGGTTGTCAAATTATGAATTGAATTGAATTGAATTGAATTGAATCGAATCGAAAAATCAGTTTGCTAAATTTAAGAATGGTAAGAGTATTATAATTTTATTCAGAATTTCTAGAAATATATATGTATATGCATATTTATTAATATAATAAACATTTAAAAAAAACATGACAATATTTCGAATTGCAAAAATATCGTACAAATTCGTAATAAACGGTAATAATTCAATGCGGTGATGTAAATCAATGATGTTCTTTATTACCTTCCTAAATCCGGAACTAGTCAACAAGGTTTTGTACATCCTCACCACTTCAGCTCCCTAATCAAAAGAATTGTATTAGTTAAGCAAGAATTAAGATTTAGCCATTAATCAAAGTCGAGAAACTAAAATATCTGAGGAGAGAGAATAAATATCTAACCTTCTCATAAACCTTCATATACGAAAACGAAACGAGGAAGACAAAGTCAACAGTTAGTCATTAATTAAATCCAGAAAATTAACTGCAAAGATATATTTAAAAAAAAAAAAAAAGAAAAACGAGGAAAGGGTTATATGCAATTACCGTCACTGCAAGTTAACGTCCATGGCCAACCAATAGAAAACGTGCAGCCAAAATGTTCAAACATGAGAACTCGGTGATGAAGGAAAATTATAAAATTCAAAATTGCAAATTAAAAACGAGAAGTTATTAAGCCCGTCAATAGACAGACGAAAATACTTGCCTGTGTAGAAGTTATCCATCTGCCAAAAGACGAAATGGAAAATGTCAGTACATTTTTCACACAATCAGATGTTTGAAATCGGGATGGAAATCGGATCGGAAAAATTATACTTTTTTCGGAAGTGGAAAACTAATTCCAATTCCGTTCCAAAAAATAGGAGAAGTTGTAAAATCGGAATTTTGGAAATTGGAGTGGAAAAACTTGTTACAAATCGGAAATCTTTTTATCCGAATCGACGAAATTCTAAATTTCCAATTTTTTAATCACTTATAATATAAAATACATAAGAATTTTGGAAAATATTTTCGGAAATTAAAAATTGGATCGGAAATCGGAATCTAATATGTATACCAATTCCGTTTCAAAAATAATTAGGAAATAAGAAATCGGAATTTGGAATGAAAAGTATTGTTCCAAAACCGGAAATATAGATATCGTAACCGACGGTATTTCGAAATTGGATTCCAATTTCCACCCCTAGTACTTTGAAAAGAGAGATGAAAACGGGAGAGAATTCAGACCTTAATATAAGAGTGAGGACGCACGGGATGAGCCATGGGGCCCGCATCCTAGACAATTAAAACAACTGTTAGCATCTACAATTAAAATATTAAATTAGAAAAAAAAAAAGATAGCTGAATAAATCGTAATAAAATACTTTGTCCACACCTGAGGAAATTGATAGGTTCGAAGCTTTGAAACATCAGCAATTCGTTTCACTGTGCGGCTTCCCAAATCGGACGAAAATTCCTGGAATAATTCATTTAGATTTAATCTAATCTTACATTGACAGAATATATATATATATATATATATATATATATATATATATATATATATATATGAAATGATTAGTCACCTGATCTCGGAAAACAGTGAGGCCTTCCTTTAAGCTGAGCTGGAACCAATCCCGACACGTGACTCTGTTATTTAATCGAATGAATGTCAAATCAATAATTTCGAACAACATAAGAACAATTTCAAACACGGGAGATATATGTATAAGCTAACCTGTTTCCTGTCCAGTTGTGAAAATACTGCAAAAAAACATCGAAAAAGAAAACAGGGGAAATTTAATTAAATGTTTAAAAATTCAGAATATAATTCGCACGCAAAACGGAGACAAACCTCGTGCCCAATCACACCCAAAATTGCAGCATAATCTGCATCTGTAGCAGTTTCCGGAGATGCAAGGACGAGTTTGGAATTAAAAATCTGCAAATAATAAAAAAAAAATCATAAAATTTAAGAAAGTACCATCAAATGAGATTATAAGATAGAGAAGATGATGACGTGGCATTTCATCTTACATTCAAACTTTTGTTTTCCATCGCTCCCCTGTCAACCGAAATACAATACAACACCTTAGCAATGTAAAATATATATATATGAATAATCAAGAAAGACGGCATTGAATAAAAAACGAACTAACATGTTAAAATCTGGAACAGCTACAATGTTAAACAGATCCAAGTCGTATTCAAGCCCAAAAACCTGATCGAAAAAGACGAATTAGACAAAAAAGATCAAAACAAACAAAAAAAAAGGGTAAAAAAAAAAGAATTATTACATCTTCGTCCCATTTCATTGCAGCTTTGAGAGAGTACATAGCATGTGCTGTCTTGGGAAGATCTTGTGGTGGGGTCCATATTCGAAGCAAGACCTTTCGACCCGAACGAGTTGTGAAAGTATCATCTCTACTTTCCAATTTTCCCGCAACTAATGCGAAAAGATAGCACGGTTTCACAAAAGGATCCTCCCATATTGCGTAATGCTTGTTTCCCTGCATTAATGCAATTCAAATATATATTATTTAAATCAAATTAAAAAAAAATCATTTAAAAAAAAACAGACGAGAAGTAACTGACCTCCAAGTCTCCTTCCTCTACGAGATTCCCGTTAGACAAAAGTACAGGGTACAGTGACTTGTCCCCTTCAATGCGACAGGTGTACTTCGCCATTATATCGGGGCGATCCTAAAAAAATTTAACCACGTATTAGCAAATACCACATAATATTATTATTTTATTTTTTTTATTAAAAAAAAAGAGATATATACCTGATAGTATGTAATTTTCCGAAAACCTTCTGCTTCACATTGCGTGCAGAAGTTTCCTGATGACTTATAGAGCCCCTGCATTATGCATTACCCATAAATAAATATTGGAATAATGTTATAACTAAACGAGAAAAACGAGAGAATATAATTATTAATTAAGGCCTCACGTCCAAGGAAGTGTTCTTCTCTGGGTAGATTTCAGTCACGACTTCCAAAGTAAATTTACCGGTTGGAGGTGACGAAATAGTGAGGTGGCGTGAGTCTACACGGAAATCGTTCTCCTGCAATAAATAATTATTTCTTCGTTAATCAATACAAAGTCAACGTAAACATATTAGCGCGAAAACAAAAAATAAAAAATAAAATAAAAAATAATTTATCTCGCATACCTTGAGCTCGTTACCATTGACCTTCAATGAAATCAGTTTCAAATCAGCTCCATCCAAGATCAGAGGTGACGAACTACCTGTTCATTTACGATCGGTAGACAAATAATTTAATAACTCGAAAATTATTTAGATGGCAAATAATTCTGTATTTTCATACAACACATACATAAGTGCAATAAACAATCTACAGAAGAAACCTTCATACAGTGATTACAGACCTCGTTTTTTGTCCGTTCGACGTTGATGCAATAAAAATCGAAACTAAGTTTTACACATACATAGTTACAAGAGACAAAAAGCCCGAAACCGATAAAAATATTTTCTTGATTTCTACAACAAATCTGTCGAGTTGCACTTTTTGAAGTATGATCTTGATACATTTGAACTCTTGTAATTCTTGTAAAATCGAAGAACCCGATAAAGTTGTCAGACACAGCCACTATATTCTGATAAAGTAAACTAACAAACGAAAGCCGTACTTCAAAGTTACGGTAAATCAATTCAATTCGCACCTCGATTAACAGCCAAACAAACCGACACCATTAGATAGATACAGATATTACAAGAACAAAACGGAACGAGGGAATACCTTCAAGTCTGGGAGAGACAGCTATTTTCGAATAAACGATTGTTTTCTCCTCACCCAACGTAAAACTCAGATCCACCTAAAGATACGATTGTGTGTGTTTTTATTAAGTATTAGTGGCAGTTCGTAAAGAATATAATTCAGAAATCGAGACTTGTATGAGAACTACCGTGTCGAAGTAGTAATCGGGTTGCTTGTAATCCTTTAAAAAGATCTCTATCGGTGCATCCATATACAATTCTTCGACTTGCTTCGAACAACGGTTCTGTTGCAACCGAGCAAATTAATCTCCGTCTAGTATTTGCTAAATGCTGGAGAAACGAAAAAAAAAAGTTAAGTACTCAAGGATTTATTGCGACGTGCTCACGAAATGCGAATATTAGCATAATCTTGAACGAATGAATGAGTAAACTTACATGCAAGGGGTAATACGGTACCCGACAATTCCAATTAGTAGCCTAACGACAACATTAGATTATGGAAAATGTCAGAGAAACCAACGTCGAAAATATCTCGAGCAAGAAAAAGAACACACACACACAAAAACAAAAATCAGGACACAAAAAAAAAAAAAAAAACCTTGGAACTAAGGAATCGTCTGTATAAAGTACTAGGTTTCACCGAATGCGCCTTCACACGACTCGGCAGAAGCTGAAAACAATCAAACGACACCTCTAAGATACAATATGTGTGACTAATAAACACAAATTCAAGAAAATCAAATCAACCCCATACAGACATTTAGTTCTAAACAACGATGTAGATAAGCAATTCATCAATTATTTAATCAACCGATAGAAATAAATAAATTGAACAGAAAATAAATAAAAATAAAATATAAAAATGGGGTTTGGGTAATCACAGGAGCAGAGGAGACCAAACCCATGAGGCATGTCTTCGAAAAGCTCGAACCTTTGCAAGGCAGAATCAATCGAGACATCAATTATCTATAATATCTTTTTTTATTTTTTTTCAAAAATAAAAAAATTCAGACAAGTCTAAACCCTCAAAATCGATTGTAACAACCACAAAGATTCGATATTTAACAAAATTAAAGAAAGCCCAAATGGCTTAAATTTCAATCGGCCGAATAAATAAAGAAGACGAGTGAAAGAGAGTGAAGTTGGGATGTTATAAGGTTCATACATAATAGAAAACGATGCGGATAATTTTGGATTAAATTCATTACATAAATCAAAAATTAAAATTAATAAATAAATTGTAGGATTAAATAAAAACTTTGCATACAAACTCCATTGTTGTCTTTTTTACCTTTTTTTTTTTTTCTGGGGATCGGGATTGAAGATCGAGTCAATAAAGAAGACAACCTACGGGAGACGTATTGGAGTTCAAGATTCCTCTGCTTAGGTAACAAGATTCGTTGGAATTGTTTTTTGTTCTACATTTATTGATTTTTTGATAAATAAATATGATGAGATTTTCATGGGAAATGGGCTTTTTTTGGGTAATATTTGGGTCCAATATATGATTTTTCTTTTTCTCATATTATTTAAATAATATTATTATTATTTACTTTTTTGGTTGATGTGCCATATATTATCCTTGGGAATTGGATTTATAGTAAATATATTTATTTCTCTCTCCATTTTTAAAATAAGTGTAGTTTTTCAAATTTGTTGAATTATTAAAAATCTCAATAAATGTGTTGTTTTTAGAAAATAGATATTGTTAAATCAAAATATTCGATTTTGTGTGTTAGTTTTTGTCAATCATTTCCATATATGGTGATATTGTATCAATTTGTATTGATTTTAATTTACATCAAATGTGATGTGTATATGTAGGTTTTTGCACATATCGATTAGTATTAGTTTTAGCATTAACTATAAATTTTGGATGAAAGTAAATTTTAAAAGATCAAAATATTCTAATATATAATAAAAATATGTAATTAATTATAAATAAAGCTGATGTTGTACCACTCACCTTGGGTTGATTAAACAGGAACACGATGGTAGGTCACTGCACGCGAGTAGGGAAAGCAGATGGAAAGGTAGAACAATAAAGTTCTGAGTATTAAAACTAGAGAATGAGCATACATTTTACCATGAGGCTCGCGTTTTATTTATATTAATTAGTGGTAGAATCCTAATTAGAGTATACTTCTAGTTTAGTTAGAATATAATCCTAATTAGGTATTCAGTCAATATGACGGGCTTGAGCCCTCAATTCAGTGCTCTCGCTCGTTTGGGCCTTAACTTCTAGCCTAATATAGTGAAATAAGTAGTGGGTCATTAAAGGCCCACTTAGGTATTTCAGATATCGGGAGGTGATAAATGTCGTTTCAGTTTTCATAATGTCGTTTTGACTTCAAACGTGATTTTGACCATTTTCGAGTTTGAATTTGGCAAAATTCAGAACATGGAATTTGTAATTCTTTGAGTTAGCATTCTAATCTAATTTGAATCGCCACGATTGGATGTCGGTTGAGAAAGTTATGCATGAATTAATGAACACTGCCCACAACTTTGATGTTTTAAATTATGTAAAATTTAAAACGTAACTCATTCATGCATAACTTTGTCACCCGACATCCAATCCAGGTCATTCATGTTGGATTAGAAAGCTATCTCAAAGGACTACAGTTTCCGTCTTTTGAACTTTGACAAATTCAAAATAGAAAATAGTCAAAATCACTTTCGAAGTCAAAACGACATTAGTAAAATTAAAACGACATTTATCATTTCAGATATCAAAATCTATATTTATTCACTATAAATAAGTGTTAACTTAAATGGTGCTTGGGGAATTTTTTCAATTGTTACAAAATATGAGGATGGTTTAAGAAATTGTTATAATTGGGCTCAAAATGTGAAATATTGCAGACAAGGCCCAATAAGAGAATGAACCCTCGAAAAATTATAGAAATAAATATAGTTAACAAGGGGTGTTCGTTCACTAAATTCGTACCGAAAAGTATTAGGCAATGTTTGGAACCGTTTTTATTTTGTTCTCACTGTTTCCCCAAAACAAAATGGGATTTATTACACTTTTCAAATCATTTTCTCAAAACAATTTCAAAAGTTTCTCTCTCCTCCAGACATGATGTGACTGCTACAGTAAAAAATGTCTTCACTAAAAAACAAATAAACATCACTTCACCTTTCAATTTTCTTCTTCAAAAATATCTTTTTCTAACACCTTTAAACATGATTTGACTTCTACAGTGTATTTTGTCTCCTTCCAAAATACAAACAAACATTACTTTCATTCTCAAATTATTCCCCCAAAACATATTTCCTCAAAATGAAATCAAAATAAGATCCAAAACGGTTCCAAACATTGCCTTAGAATTTCAGTATGCCAAAATTTCATACCAAATACTGGACCATAACATACAGTTCAGTTACCACCAAATTCTCGAAATAATCACTAAAACTAAAAAAATATTTATCTATAATCTGATTAATTGTTTATTTATTTTCGCATACAATTAATAGTTTTTAATGTAACATTAAAATTTTATATTGAAATACAATTATAAAAAAAAATATCTTTCGATTCTCGGGTGTACACAATGAAATACCAAGATTTTCGAAAATTAAATACCAAATACTGAACTAAATTTTCGATTGGGAACCGATAAACACCCCTAGTTGTAGCAGCTTCCAATAATAATTAGTTAGGATTAGAGATGCTTTCTTTTTCTTCATCTCTTTTTAAGTGATGGCGCCAAATGAAATGATTGGAAGAGAACATAATAATAATAATAATAATAATAATAATAATAATAATAATAATAATAATAATAATAATAATAATAATAATAATAATAATAATAATAATAATAATAATAATAATACTAATACACGGAACAGAGACCCAAAAAACTCGGCCGACAAAAAAAATCCTTAACGGACAATGATTTGTACTTCAGTTCTAAAATCCAATGATGGCCCAGTACGGTCGGCCCACCTTGTCTCTCCGTTCCGTTTTCCTAGCCCACATATTAATATTATTTTAATACTACTTCACAACCAACTTTTTACTCCTATAAATTAATTACTTGTCCAAAAAATAAAAATAAAACATTAAATACATTTAATTCCATATTTCAAATTACACGACCTTTTGCACATTTCTCCCAAATTCTTGTAGCTAAACAAAGTGGCAACAAAATGCGTATATTTGACTTTCGAAACGACTAGTGTGTGTGTGCGTGTGCGCGCGCGCGTCAGTTTATGTGTTTTGTATGCGTGCGTGTGTTAGTGTGTAGGTGTGCGCGTGCGTGTGTGACTGTGTATGGAAGAGTTTCGGTGATGGCAGCGGCTGGGAGTGGGAATGGAGTAGATTTGAAGGGTTGCAACTAAGATGGATGGAGTGGTGGATAAGAAGACATGGATAAACGGCTTTTAACAAAGTGCAAAAATCTCATTGTTTTGATTTGATAGAGTATTAGTGTCCAATAGTGTTTAACAAATCGCCCCTTGTCTATTTAGCAAAATAGAAAGAATAAAAAATTTTGGATAAGTCGTTGGGTCCTATAAAATGAGGTTTATATTATACTGCATCGGATGGAACATACGTGATAAATCTTTACCATTCATATACCACAAACACACACACACATTAATGTGTGTAGATCAACGACAAAAATCCACGTGGCATAATTAATTTATTAACACCAATTAAAACTTATGAAATGGTACATTTTAGTGATATCAACAAAGATAAAAATGTTGGCAAAGATTAATTCAAGAGTTTTGACTTATTGGACCCTACCAATTTTCTTTTTTTACTCGGAGCCCCTCAAACTTTGTATCTTATCATTTACTTGCATCAATTATATAATCTTGTCAGATTTGTCCTCTTACTCACACCAATTACACTATCTTGTGAGATTTGTCGTCTAGTGAATTTTTTATTTTTATTTTTGCCTAAGAGATAAGATCAAAACTCTTTTTATCTATTAAATACAATTTGCATTTGCATATTCCAAGGATTAGTATAAATAAACATGTTCATGAGCTAATAATAATAATTAAATTAGGCAGCCATGTTAAAGTTATTGCAACAAGACAAACAGTGAGCCTGTCTGTAAAGATTTGTCTAGTTACTTAATTATTAATTTCTATAGGTAAACAAATGGCATTTTTTTATGGGAAATTACTGCCAAACCCTCTGAGCTAATGTCAAATTATGAAAAAAACTCCTCATCTTCGTGTAATTACAATCACCACCCTCAATTATATCTTGTTTTACGCTTTCGTTCTTACGGTCTTAAATTTACCTACAAAATAAGAGGGGGTTTTTGTAAGAAAATATATAGTTGAGGGGTGATTGTGATTACCCAAATAAGAAGGGTGTTTCTCGTAATTTGACCTAACCTTAGGAGGTGACCGTAATTTGCTTTTTTTTTTTTTACTATTTAATTTTGCAAATGGACAGATTTTCTCTTTTGTTTAATTTTTTTTCCCCTGAGTTTGTCTGCTGGAGCAGTAAATTAAAGTTTTATTACCTAAGCCAATAGACAATGTGAACAGAAGCATATGAATATTCTATTTGTTAATGTCTTGAGCCCCAATAAATATTAATTTAACAAAAAATAATTATTAAAAAAATAAATAAAAATTACCAAAAAGAGAGGCTGAGCAACTTTCCTGAATATGGGACTCATTCATTCTGAGTAGTGAAAACTGTGCATTTTAGCACTTTCCAGGTGGATTTCCAGTGCATGCACTTGGCAACCAATTGATAAAGGTTGGGAAATAAAAAAAAATACAAACAAAAGGGCAAAATAGTCATTTTACATAAATCGAAAAACCAATCATATATCGATTAGAGAAGAAGAAACAAAAATGGTCATGTCAATAAGACATTTCATAAGTATCTCAAAAGTTCGTTATAAGTATGTTTTGCCTTCGTTTCTTTTAAGTGTCTCTTTAGTCAATTTTCTTTTTCGTATAGTAGAACCTAATCTTATTTAAATAATATTTTTTTTCCGATCCCGACTGAAGGACACTAAAAAACGCAAGGAGTGACATATTCATATTTGATGAGCTTGGGAAAAGACCATATAGCCCATATAATTAGTCAAATGAAAAAGAT